AGAGAGGAGAGATCAGTGACCCCCCCGGACCCTTCCATGCAGTGTGGGTGCATCGGCAGGGCTCACCCGGTATAATACCCATGAGGCTTTGCAGGGCCTGATCGTAAGCTGCGTCCCTCTGCGTCCGGGTCCTCGGCGGCCGCGGCTGAGTGCGCAGAGCCCCTCCCGGCCAGATTGCTTGTCGCAGTAAACGCAGGTACAACGCCCATCGCTGCATGCAGGTGACATTGTCCACCTGGACCTCCAGCCACCTGCCGGGAGAAGAGGAAACCACGAGGAAGATGATACGCGTGTTACACGCGTGTTACATGTAGAACCCTCCGTGTTGCAGACACGCTTATCCCCCGTCACACGTTTCTCACCGCTGGATGAGGCTTCCGCACAGCACACGCGTCACTTTCTGCATGTTGTCCGTGCAAAGCCAACTCCACTGTTCCCTCATTACCAACCAGAGGACCTCCAGCGCCACGGCCGAGAGACCTCAAACCGGGAGGTTGGGGCGGAGGGATGAAACCCCCAGGAGATCGGGGGCGGAGACAGACCGCATCCCGGGGGGCGGAGACAGGACAGACTCACTTGGTGCTTCTCTTGTCATTCTGAGACTTGCCGTCCACCTCGTTCTCACTCAGCTCATCCGTCGGGCTCTGCGGCTCCGATCGCGGGAATGCCGTCTTCAGCGTGTCCACAATGGCGTTCACCACAATCTGTGCCGAGGAAGCAGAGGGGACGAGAAGGGTTTGTACACCGAGGCGCTGGACAGAACACACACCAATCAATGCAGCTCTGCCGCCACCACTCATCATCATCACCACCACCACCATCATCATCATCCCCATCATCACCACCACCATCATCTTCATCCGCATGTGTGATGAGCCTCATACTGGCTGAGCTCGGGGGAGCCAATAACTTGTTCTGCAGTGTTTGTTAGCAGAGAGCATGCTGACAGGAGGAAAGAGCAGAGTGACATTAGTGAATAGTGTAACTATTAGTGAACTGCAGCAGAGAGAATCGGGTCCTGCCAGGCCGGCGCTGTGCGGCAATCTCAGGACTGGATGGACAATTTTTTTGTATTCAG